ATCCGAGCTCACAGCAACCTCAGACTCTTGGGTTTAAGCTATTCTGTTGCCTCCACCTCTCAAGTAGCTGGGAGTACAGGTGCCTGCCACACACACACCTGGCTGTTTTTTTATTTTTGTTGTTATTGTTGTTTCGTAAGGCCCAGGCTGGGTTTGAACGCGCCAACAGTAGGAATAAAATAATTGTTCTCATTCTTAAAAATATGAACAGTTGTGCAATTTACCTCTTAACACTAAATTTCTAATTATGTATAACAAAATACTCCTTTTAGAAGACTTAAAGGATAACAAGTTCTAATAGTGTAGGTTAAAAAAAAGAAAAAAATGTTTCCATGTATTTTTTTAACATTTTTTATCAGGGTAAGTATGAATTGTGCATCCATTACTATCAGTAGTGATTTATGATTAAATTATAGATCATTGCATAATAACTGATACACATTATCTTTTCCTGTAGGAAAAAAACCTTGAAGATAACCTCCAGGGTTTGGCTACAGTATTAGGTCCTCTTTATCAACAGTATGCTCCAGTTGCTTACCAAAATCAGGTACATTTTGAAACCTTACATAGCTCTTTAGCATGGTTGAACTTTTCTTTTGGGGGGGGGGGGAACAATATCTTAAGGCTAGAATGCAGTGCCATCATCTTCGATAATTGCAACCTCAAAGTCCTGGGTTTAAACAATCCACGAGCCTCAGGCAGAAGCTACCCCAACAGCTACTTTTTTTCTTTCTCGTGAGGTGAGGTCGCACTATTTACCTCATTGGGCTCAGATTCCTTGGCTCATGAAATCCTCCAGTCTCAGGCTCCTAAAGTGCTGGTTATATAGGCACTGCACCTGCCCCAAACTATTTATTTTCATTTTTTTGAGATGATCTCACCGGGTGAAAGCCCTGTGAGGAATGCTGTGGCAACATAGCTCACACCAATCTCATATTCTTCAGCTCAAATGATCCTCTTGCCTTAGAGTACCTAGGGCTACAGGTTGCCACAACACCTGGCTATTTTTAGAGACGGGGTCTTACTCTGACGCAGGCTGGTCTCCAACTCTTGAGGATTTTGCCTAAGAGCTGGAAGTAGGTAAAGATGTCTATGCTGACCATTGTACTGAAGGTTCTAGCTAGGGCAATTTAGCGAGTAAAGGGTAGAAGCATTGGGAAAAATACACCAGCAGATGTGTAAAAGACACCATCAAGAAAGTGAAAATGTAATATGAAAATATAATTGTAAATCACTTACCAAAAGAGAAAATTAAGTGTAAATTTTTTTTGGTAAGCTTTTGGCTGGGGCTGGGTTGGTTTGTTTTTTTTTTTTTTGTTTGGCCAGGGCTGGGTTTGAACCTGCCACCTCCGGCATATGGGGCCGGCGCCCTACTCCTTGAGCCACAGCCACAGGCACCACCCTGGGGCCGGGTTTTAACCCACCACGCACTACTACTTTGAGCTATAGGCGCCGCCCATGTAATTTCTTTTTTTTTTTTTTAAGACAGAGTCTAACTTTGTTGCCATTGGTATAGGGCCGTGGAGTAATAGCTCACAGCAACTTCAAACTTCTGGGTTCAAGCGATCCTCTTGCCTCAGCCTCCCAAGTAGCCAGGACTACAGGAGCCCGCCACAAAGCCTGGCTATTTGAGACCAGGTCTTTCTTTGTCTTGGCTGGTCTCAAACCTGTGAGTGAGCTCAGTCAATCCACTCACCTCAGCCTCCCAAGTATGCTAGGATTACAAGTGTGAGACACCTCACCTGGCCTAAAAAAATTTTTTAGGCTTGGCGCCTGTAGCTCAAGAGGGTAAGGCACCACCCACATACACCAGAGATGGCGAGTTGGAATCCGTCCTGGGCATGCCAAATAGCAATAACAACTATAACCAAAGAAGTCAGGCGCCTGTAGTTCCAGCTACTTGGGAGGCTGAGGCAAGAGAATCACTTAAGCCCAGGAGTTGGAGGTTGTTGTGAGGTATGATTCCAGGGCACTCACTCTACCCGGGGTGACAACTTGAGCCTCTAACTAAGAAAAAAAAATTTTTTTTTTTTATATGACCCTCTTTCTCTTCCTTGTTCCATCTTTCCCTTTTTTGTTTATTTCCTTCTATCCATATTTCTTTCATTTCTCATTTTCTGTTGGTTCCTTTGTTCTTTGTTTTTTCATTCTTTCCCCCTTTTTGGAGACAGCATCTCACTTTCTCAAAGCTACCTCAAATTTTTGGGCTCAAGCAATTCTCTTGCCTCTGCCTTCCCGTAGCTGGGACTGTGGGTGCCCGCCACTATGCCTGGCCTTTTTTGGAGAGGGGTGGGGGTCTCACTCTTGCTCAAGCTGGTTTTGAACTGCTGACCTCAGGCAGTCTACCCACCTTAGCCTCCACGTGGGCTACCTCATAGGCACGTGCAATGGCCCTTCCTTTTCCTTTTTTTTTTTTTTTTGAGACATAGCCTCAAGCTGTTGCCCTGGGTAGAATGCTGATTCTATGTATATCTACATCTTATAGACATTTTAA